GTACCACTCATTTCGACGCACGCCACGCCCACTGTGGGCGGGGCTCCGCTTAGGCTGATGTATGTTTTTTACTTCTCGAGATATGGTACACCCATCCCAAACTTGACCTGGACCCAGTAGGTTGTTGTTCCGCTTAATACCGGAATTTCGTGACAGACAGACAGACAGACAGACAGACAGACTTAGCGCATTATATATAGTAGGGATATAAGGACGACGACTGAATGACTGCTAGAAGACAAGCGCGGGCCGAACAGTTATGCAGGGAGCTTCCATCACATCCTTTCACATCTGGTTGCTACATGCGCTCGAATTATAGGAAGCTTCGTGAGAAAGCGTTTTCTCTCGTTCTCCGAAGCGCGGGAACGTGAGTAGCGTGGTATTCTATCGGCGCATACCCTCTACGTAAAGAAAGTCGTTGCAAGGGTCAGGACAATGGGCTCCAGTGAAATTGGAGAACATGCGGAACATGAGGTCGTTCAACTAACAATTCAGTGTCGAGGTGCTTTCTGTAGTACGTTAAATGATGTCCCAGAGGTCCCGAAACATACCTTGTTCCGTGGGATAGCGGTTGAAGCGGATCTGGTAATCAGTAACGTGGGACATTTTTTATGCTTTTTCACGCTTGCCCACATCTATATGTTATTCCAGGGATTCGGAACTGCATTCTCATCACCTGTATCACCTGTCGTCCCGTTGATCATCGAATTGCTCGAGCGGGCGCCAGCAACGTCTCCATTCGTCCCTGTCGCGTGCAAGAGTTGTCCAGTGGACCCTCCTCGCTCGAGGGACACGATGTCCTTCATTCCTTTCGTTCAGAGCTTTCGTGAAGAAGTCTGACCATCGGGCCGGCGGTCGTCCAGGTGTTCGTTTGACGTCCCGAGGGATCCAGTCGGTAACCGCTCTGGTCCAACGGTCATCGCAAAATCGCATGACGTGTCCGGCCCACCTTATCTTCGATTCCTTGGCGAAAACGGCAGCGTCCCTGATCTTCGATCGTTGGCGTAGTTCGGCACTCCGGATTCCCCTCTGCACTTGCGTGTATAGGGTTACTCCTAGCATCGTCCTCTCGACAGCGCGTTGGATAACGCTGACCGCATGCTCGTCCTGCCTGCGCAGAGTCCAAGTCTCTGAGGCGTAGGTTAGGGCAGGAAGGACAGCGGAATCGAAGAGGTGGGCACGGAGCCGGTTCTTTCTTCGTCTTCTTCACTACTCCCTCGATGTTCTGCTCAGCTCTGGAGCTAGATCGTTCATCATATTGATTTCCCGACCTAGGTACACGTAGCTGGAGCATTCGGTGATGTTCGTTCCGTTGAGCGTGAATGGGGCATCAGGAACCAATCCGTTTCTCATAAACATCGTCTTCGTTAGGTTCAGCTGTAGACCAACCTTACCACAGGCGCAGTCGAAATCAGCCAGCATTCGCTCCGCTTGCTCGATGTTTCGGCGTTATAAGAACGATGTCGTCAGCAAAACGAAGGTGGTGTAGTTGCCGGCCGTCGACCTTCACTCCCATGTCTTCCCATTCCAGTTGACGCATGACGTTCTCGAGAGCGGCGCTGAAGAGTTTGGGCGAGATGGTGTCGCCCTGTCGAACCCCTCTCTTGACGTCGATGATGACCTCCTTGTAGAATGGTGAGATTCTGGTCGTAAAGTTGCTGTAGAGCTCACGAAGAATCTTGATGTACTGAGTAGGGACGCCCTGGTTGCCCAAGGCTTCGATGACCGCTTCTGTCTCCACAGAGTCGAAGGCCTTCTTCAAGTCGATGAACGTGAGACAAAGCGGCATCTTGTACTCTCGTGAAACTTCAATGAGTCTTGTAACCGTGTGGATATGGTCGATCGTGCTGAACCCTCTTCGAAACCCTGCTTGCTCGCATGGCTGTCCTTCATCCAGTATTCTGCCGATCCTGTTGAGGATGACTCGAGTGAATAGCTTGTAGATTACAGACAGCAGGCAGATTGGGCGATAGTTGCCAATGTCGTCCAGGTCTCCCTTCTTGTACAGCAACACGGTCCTGCTGGTTTTCCACGGAGTGGGTACCTTGCATTCCGACAGGTAGCGCGTGAAGAGTCGAGCCAGAGTTTTGATGATAACTGGCGGCGCATTCTTCAGATGTTCCGGTTTGACCCTGTCGAGACCGGGTGCTGTACGATTCTTCACCGACTTGATGGCGTGTCGGACTTCGGAAGAGAGAACTGAGGGGACGACGTATCCATCCTGTTGCAGTTGATAAGTGGGCAGATGGACATGGCTATCGAAGAGATCCGAGTAGAAGTCGTGGATGACTTTCTCCATTGCCCTTCGGGATGCAGTAACTGTTCCATCCGGACGTCGGAGGCAGGTCATCTTGGTCTTGTAGCTGGCAAAGCTTCGGCGGGCATGCTCCTCCCAGCCTCTGCTGCTTCAGCTAATACTGCTGCTCTTCGCTCCTTGAGATCTTCCTTTATCGCCTCTCTGCATAGCTTCGCAAGCTCGGACGTGAGTCGGTGATTGCCTGCAGCTCGTGCGGCTCCACGTTGGCGTATCAGCTCGAGAGTTTCCGAGACAGACGTCCCTTGGTGACTTCAAACTCTCTGCCTTCCTGCCACTCTCGTGAAGATGTTCAACGAGCCGATGTATTCCTCGTCGATGTTTCTCGATAACGGAATCCTCCCATAAGCTGACAAGAGAAGTGAAGTGATCCCAGTTGATGACTGTTGTGGGTGCTTCGCTTCTCATAGCATTAAAAATTCCGAGCCGATTCTTGAAAAGGTAAAATGTTGCAATGTGTAAGCAAAAAAAACCGAAGTCATGGGGATGAATAGGAGCCCCAGTAGCAGCTCGACCTATTGACCCACCTTTCTATGCTCCCACACAAGTCTGGTACCGATTGAAGCGAGAGAACACGATAAAGTTCGTGCAGCGTAGAAGTACATGCACCACTGGAAGCAGTCAGGGGCCAAAAAGCGAAATGTGGCGTTTTTGTGGCCAAAGGTGCGCTAGCTGCAGCGTACTGGGCTTGCCATTCCTTTCTGAGCTCCGCCACGGCCTGTGCTCCGCCCCCAGCAGCAGCGTCCTTCGATTATCGTTTTGATGAGGTATTCCTTCTTTGAGGGCGTATGAATTGAACTTCCCGATGTCAATTGAAGCGTGACCCTTGCTGGTGTGGTGGTGGCTATCGTTTTACCATGTGCAAAACGCCTCTTATTAGGTTGCTAGCAAGTCCATTATCGGAGGTCAACGGGTATACCATTTTGAGCGTTCTTGACGGATTTCATTGCTTTTTTCGCCACTGGGGTATTATTCCTATATAGGCTACCTTGAACCCGTCCACTCTTATCTAGTCCCTCGCTTTAACCGACCCCGAAGGGATGGAAGGCTTGGTTGGCCCGGGGCGACTCACGACCCAGGATTTGATCCCCGGACCGCTCGCGTGGTAAGCGTGCCACTTCACCACTGCACCACTTCCGCCCTTGCATATCGCAGTTTGCGGTGATGTCAATATAAGGGGACAATGAGTTAAAGGACGAATTCACGATTAGAATGAAGGTCGAAGAAGGAGTAATTCACCTAGTTGAGGGACCCGCGGACCTCCTGAGGGTGCGAACTGAAGCGCAATTGGCACCGAAAAAGTTGACCTCGGCGACCTATTATGGCTCAATCTTGGCGCGGTGGCCAGTGCACGCCCACCGATCATCTGATCACTCGCCGCAGGTCTATACGTGGCGAGTGATTAGATAGGTGAGAGAGCGTAGTGTTGAAGAGGGCACAGCGATGACAGTCGTATCAATGTTTAAAGGACGAATTCACGATGAAAAAGCAACCCATTTCAAATTAACCTAGGGATGGTGAGTGGTACACGAAAGAAGGAAGAACCATGAGAAACGGCCCAGAACCCGAGAAATGGGACCCCTTCCTTGCCCGTTGATTTGAGCATTGATGCGACTCTCATCGCTGTGCCCTCTTCAACACTACGCTCTCTCAGCTATCTAATCACTCGCCACGTATTGAACTAGTGATCAGATGATCGGTGGGCGGAGATCGCCGGACCCGCCAGCTTTGAGGCATGATAGGTCGCCGAGGTCAAATTTTTCCATGCGAATTGCGCGTCAGTTCGCACCCTCAGGAGGTCCGTGGGTCCCTCAACTAGGTCAGTTTCCCTTTCTTCGACCTTCATTCTAATCGTGAATTCCTCCTTTAAATCAACGGGCAAGGAAGGGGTCCCATTTCTCGGGTTCTGGGCCGTTTCTCATGGTTCTTCCTTCTTTCGTGTACCACTCACCATCCCTAGGTTAATTTGAAATGGGTTGCTTTTTCATCGTGAATTCGTCCTTTAAAGGATACAACCGAAATGTGCGTGATTGATAGTCTCTCGATATTGCTGTTATAGTTTTACTCGTCTAAGCACTGTGATTTTTACGAAGCAATCATACAGTCGGTTCATAACAATATCCAGGGCCACATTCGTTAGGAATGATTGTTCAGGTTACAGAGAATCTTTACTTCGCCATCAACACATTCCTCAACTTTAACGTGTTTGCATCGATAGGATCTCTGACAGCCAACTTCATTCAACAGGTAATTTGATCAAGTAATAAAGTTTCACGAAGAGACAGTGAAGTACCTTCGATTGGCGTGCGCGCACCACTTTGTCACCCCTTCAGCGTCGCTACCACCGTGCTCGAACGAATTACCTGCTCAGAATGGAGGGTTTTTCGGCACTATTGCACTATTACAACCCCAGTGGAGGTGAGATGGGTCAAAAAATAATTTTCGCTGAAACTTCGGCTATGGGGGTTATCGAGGGTCCTGATCACGAATATGATATTCATTTTTGGCGCTGGCGCCAAATTGGCGCCATTTGGCGCCAGGTGGCGCCACGACTGATTCCCACTAAATTCGCTGTAAACTTCTGTATAGGGGTTATTTGGGGTCCTGATTACGAATATGACATTCGTTTTTGTTGTTAGCGCTATTCGGCGCCTATTTCCTGCTCGTCTGCGCCCTCGCACTAATTAGATCGCAATCAGGACTAAGCCTTTGAATAGTGGAGGGCTCCAAAGTGAGTAGGCCACTCCCCTGTGGTCTGACACACTCCAATTTGCCACACAGTGTCATATTCGTGATCAGGGCCCCAAATAACCCCTATATTCAGAAGTTTACAGCGAATTTGGTGATAATCAGTAGTGGCGCCAGCTGGCGCCAAATGGCGCCAATTTGGCGCCAGCGCCAAAAAAGGATGTCATATTCGTGATCAGGACCCTCGATAACCCCCATAGCAAAAGTTTCAGCGAAAATTATTTTTTGACCCATCTCGGCCCCCACTGGGGTTGTAATGAAGCAATAGTGCCGGTTTTTCTCTCGAGCGTGCCCTCCGTCGTGGTAGAACATGCCATGAAACTGCGACACCAAACGCTGGCCCTTCTGCCCTATTAGTCCATCCGCTCGCCGCGTTAGTATGTCATGCACGTCGTCTCACTGATCTGTGTGCTTTCATATAGAAAAATATCCTTCATCTTCAATGCCGATCATCTCTTATCTCTCTCTGCCATTCTCGACTACATCGTATTTGGACCAAGGACTGCTGTCTATTGTGGTTTTGAAAGGTTAAATCCTTTTTTTCTCAGCTGGCTACTTTCACTAACGGGCGTTCTCACCGCACCGTCTTCATACTGTGTGGTCTCCCAAAGGCGAAGGGCACGAAAGCCTGGTCACCGATGGAAATGAAAGGTTCACGTATAATAAAGGGCTCAGTACTGAGGGAGACGTCAATTGAGTCGGCCTAAAAGTTGTAATCAAGATCTTTTTTGCTTGGAGTCGAATCACGTCGGTGCTCAAAGCGCTCTTCGCCCGCAAAGAACAAAATTTTGCTTCTGCGGAAAAAAGTTTCTTAAATCACATTTACTTTTGTCCTTTCTTATCCAACAATTTCTCGTGCTATCTGCTCTAACCTAATGGTAAGTGCCCTCATGTTGTGGCATGGCACGCAAGTGCGTGGCGCCCCTGATATTTCGGAAAAAGAAGGCGCCACCGCTCCGACTGACTCACCTGTATTATTTTCGTGCCTGCAGAAGTTTTGTTGTGGATGTGCGAAATCTTCATGCGAGTGCCCATACAGGAGGGTTATTCACGTTTTCACGCAATTTTCAAAAGCGTCACCTACGCTCTTGTTACTGCCTTTCTTCGGCATGAAGAACAGCTTTGCCTACATCTTTGTGCTCTCTCTGGCTGTGGAAGGGAGGCGCTAATTGCACATATTACGTGATGACCATTTTGAAATTTTGACTGCCATTTACCACATGATTACTGGCACTTCGCCCAGCATGAGCTGAGTGCGCCGCCGGTGAGTTTTTCGGGAGCCCTTCACAAAAATATTACAAAAGTGCAGCCGATCAGTCCCATGGTTTCAACAACTACTCTTCCAAAGAAGGTTGAATTTGAGTACCACTTTAGCCAAAACCGCGATTTCTATGGATCCCTGTTGTACTGCGACTGCTGTTTATTCCTTTCTTCATGTTTTGCAATTATCAGCCAGTCGGAAAAGACAGAACTGTTGAGGTCAGTTGTAATTGTTTCTACGCACTGATGCGCCTCAGCGTTTGAAATTGCAGGTGATTTTCAAAAGTGAATGGTGGTTCACAATTGCCGGTTCTGTGATGGCGTTTACGTGCGGATACTTCAGCAGTTTGGCCCTTATCTACACGCCTAGGTGAGTACCTTGTTAAGTCTTCATACTTGCAATCTTACACCTATTGAAAAGGAACGAGATGGTATGACTTAGTGTTCATTGTGTTTGCTCCTTGCGGGAGCAGCTTCGAACATGGCAAATCCCGAGGTGTTACACTGAAATATATGGGCACTATATATGGACCAAATTCCACGAAGCGTACCATCTTGTGGGGCATCTCCGGCTATGCGCGCATGCTTAATACTTTCATAAGTATGTTTGCCTGATGGCTTAACCTGTTTCCCTGGGGATCTTTTTTTCATTGTCGTTTGAGGGATTGAGCAAGCTCACCTGTTATCCCCGTTCGTAATGGACAGGCAAACAAGCGTTGATGTCGCGCCCTTTTGCTGCTTGAAAGTGCGCGACAAAGGCGCAAGGAGCTCGCCGACCCGCAATCACACCTTCGTCCGCAAGCCCCACCCTCCGCTGTCGGTTGCCACGTGACGCTGCTGAAAAGCGCGGCACAGGTGCCCAATGGTTGCATTGCGGCTCAATGTCGTTGGCACTGGAGCAACTGGAGCTAAGCTCGTGAAACTCGTCCAACACCCTCTTCTCTATCCCAAGGTGGAATGCGGCTGAAATAGAGAGTCCTCATTCGGGCGTAATCGGGGGTTTCTCTTGCTTCCTTTTTCCTTTGCAGAGCACTCCCCACCTCCAGCTTAACTACTGAATGCTGTTCCACACCCATTTTATCCCGAAGTTTGCCCATGATCAAACACAAGTCGTATAAATGCAGATGACTACTAATAATCTCCTATTGGTTTTTAACACTTTCTGTCACCCGAACTTCTCGCAAGCGTGTCAAAAATTGCATCAATCTGATGAAGTGTTGCCATTATGGCTGAAACATAACGGCATAGCAACATAACAAGACAGTCCTTTAGCACTCTTGCAGCTACTCTAAAATCTGACATGGTGGTTCTGGACGTGTACACCTGCGCGGCCTAGCTGCAATAGAGAAGTGACACGCTGTGAAGGAACAAGTGGAATTGTAAGGAGGAGTTAGTTGTGATAATTGCAACGTGGAAGTGGAGTAGTGAGTAGTGGTGTCTATTAACACGTGCATGATCGACCCCGGCTCAAATCAAGCACACGTCAAACAAGCGTTCCACCTTTGCGCTAGCTTCAAGGAGGCCTACAGATATTTCTCAGGAGCCACTTTAGTACGCCTTATTTACAAAACTTTTTGGTTTTTCGCACGTAAGTTGATTATGCCCACGTCACATTTTCAGTGTTGTGCCGACTTGCTATCAGAAAATCAGTGGCATGGCTGCTGCGATTGCCTTGATGTTAGGTACGTTTACGTCTATTTACTGCCTAAGCCGAATCTAATGTTAAAAAAATCATTGTACATAAGGGGATTTTTTGTAATCCATTTGCCTTTCCTATAAGTGAGGTCTACGATGGTGGACAATTTTCAAAAACACAAGGGAGTTCAGTCAACACGTTGACGACGATGTCGGTCAATGGCGATTGACAGATAGTATGCGAGGAAACTCAGATGGAGCCCGCGAGTTTTTTATTTCAACAATTACTTCAGAGTCCTAAGATAGCGACCCGTGATCATTCAATTGCAGGGACTTTTTTCTTGTATTGATTATGAACTGCGGAAATGTCCAATCTAATTCAATCAGAGCCACAAAGTTCCTACTATCAGCAAATCGAAAATGTGATCAATGATGAACATTTCGCCTTTTCTCATGAGTCGCTGGCAGTAGGAACCCATTTCTAGCCTTTTAAAGCAACAGTCCAGGCAGGGTTTCAACCATTTGGTTTTCAAGTGGTGGAAACATGCCTCAGCCTGATTGGAGTTCATGGGAAATGTCACAAACTTCAAAACTTACCTCTGAAAGGCGTTGGAAGCAGTCGAAATCCTTCAAGAGGGGCGGATCCACCGATCCGTGGTGGGGCCGCCTCCAAGCAGCTGTGCAGAGCGCTTGCTCGACTAGCGGTCGTTGCGGGACCGCCGCGCTGTATGAGGTCGATTCCATAAGAACGCAATTGAAGCGCTTTAATTCGATTGCTGGCAATACGTTATGTTATTCGGGCAAGCGATGAATGGTTTTGCAGCAGGTGCAATTCGCGAGCGCACGATATACGGGCGGTTCTGGACAACTCGTCAAATCGTCTTCGCCCCATCACTAAACGGCAGGGGGGAGTCCCTGTCTGTCTAGGCCCCAGCCCGACGTTTTTTTTCTACTTTTTCTTTCTCCATTGACCAACTTCTCACCTGCAACGCCATTATAGGTGGTCCTTACTCGCGAATTTCCTGGATTGTGCTTTAAGACTGATGAGTTGGGTCGGTTGATATCAGTAGGCCGCGTCACATTCGTGGGAAACACGAAAGTTATCCATTTCGTAGCTCTCTGGTTATGCGGGGATTTTCGTGTCGAGCGTTTTTTTGGATTTGAATCGGACTCGTGTGACTCATTTTGCTCCACCTTATCTATTTACCAGTTGGCGCCGCACGCATTGCGCGCGCAACACAGATCTGTGGCGAATTTTGATGGTGCGACGAAAAATTTCAAATTTGGCTTGATACAATACGAATATCTGAATTCTCCGCTAAATTCTATGCGCTCTTTCTTCGTCAACCATTATCCTATTTTTCTCGGTCCTCGGCCCGGACAATAAATCTCGTGGCGAACTCCGTCTACTTCGGTGCGTGCCCTGCCGACCAATAGCATTTGGCTCCCTTCTTTTCGCCGACCTCTACCCCCTTTTTCACCGGTCTCTGGGACCTCTTGGAACCAAATTACGACACTTTTGGCAAACTCCGCCCACTTAGGTGCGTGCTCTACCCAGTGATAGCAGTTGAGCTCTTTTCCCTCACCAACCTCTAACCCCGTTTTCCCCTATCTCTAGGACCTCTTGCAACCGAATTGCGATACTTTTGGCAAACTCCGCCCACTTGGGTGCGTGCTCTACCCACTAATAGCATTTGACCTCCTTTCCTTCGCCGACCTCTACTCCCTTTTTCCCAGCCTCCTGGACTTCTTGGGGCCGAGTTATGAATTTTCGTCGCAAACTCCGCCCACTTTGGCCAAGCCCCGCCTACCACTGGCCTTTGACCTCCACTTTCCCACCCAACTATATCTTCTTTTTTCCCCACTCTCCGGGACCTTCTGGAACAGAGTTCTGAATTTTCGTCGCAAACTCCACCCACTTTGGTCAAGCTCCGCCCACCGATGACAGCTGGCCTCCACTTCCCCCACCCACCTCCATCCACCTTTTCCCCAGCCTCCGGGACTTCTTGGAGCCGAGTTTTATATTTTCGTCGCAAACTCCGCCCACTTTGGTCAGGCCCCGCCCACCAATGACAATTAACCTCCACTCCTCCACCCACCTCTATCCACCTTTTCCCCAGCCTCCGGAGCTTCATGGAGCCGAGTTATAAATTTTCGTCGCAAACTCCGCCCACTTTGGTCAGGCCCCGCCCACCAATGACAATTAACCTCCACTCCTCCACCCACCTCTATCCACCTTTTCCCCAGCCTCCGGAGCTTCATGGAGCCGAGTTATAAATTTTCGTCGCAAACTCCGCCCACTTTGGTCAGGCCCCGCCCACCATTGATAGCTGGCCTCCACTCCTCCATACACCTCTATCCACCTTTTTCCGGCTCTTTAGGACTTCCCCGACCCGAATTATGAGGGCTTGTAGAAAATGCTGTACACTTCAGCGCGCCCGCAGTTCGTGGCAGGTCGACAGGGTCATGTATGCGGGAAACACCTTAGACATTGCTCCCTTACACCGAATTGTTTTCTGCTCTGTAGGCTTTCTCCCAACCGAGTTATGAAATTTTTCATAAAGCACTGCTTTTTTAGAGAACGCCCCGCCCACCGGGGGTGGGTCTCCCTAATTCGATGTGACTTACCAATGCACACCTTACCCACTTTTTGGCCCAGTTTCGAGGTCGTTTTGTCACTGAAATCGAAATCTTGGTCTTTGGTACAATTCATTTCGACGCACGCCACGCCCTCTGTGGGCGGGGCTCCGCTTAGCTGATGTGTGTTTTGTATTACGTGAGACCCTGCCCACCCATCCCACACTTGACCCGGTCCCTCCAGGCGGATCGCGAGGAGCTAGGGAATTTCGTGACAGACATACAGAACGACAGACAGACAGACGACAGACAGAGGGACAGAACGACAGACGAAGCGCTTTATAGTAAGTAGGATGAAAACAAGATAGCAATCAAGCAGTGGCGTCATTTCATCAGTGAGGCAAATTTTTAGTATCTAGGAGATTCTAGGTGTGATTAGAATACCAAAACCATAGAAAGGAAAGCTCATATTAATAACAGAAATGACGATTGCATCAAACTGCATCTTTTATATCATGCTCCTCCTAGGTTTCGAGAACGGCAGGCGATGTCACTGAAATTCCGTTCAGCATTAAGTATTATATTAACAATAGACTATGAGGTTTTCCATAAGTTTGTGCCCTTTTTTTGGGCCTCATTCCAGAATTTCATTTGGCGATTTCTCAATATGACCAAGTAGACTACGAAGAGCTCACTTCGTGTAGTGACCTGAACCATGCCCACCTTAGCTGCTTTTTCGGATTCAAAATCGAAAAAGAAGAGAGCCATGTTCTCCACACTCTGTTTTATGAACTTCTACTGGGCCGCAAATCGGTCGAAACCAGGAGCAGCATTTGTATTGCGATACATATGCTTGTTCTCGTTCACCATGCAGCATCAGAATGGTCAAACCTGATTCGCTCTGAAGACTGCAGTCTGGAAAAAGACCCGGGAAGGCGATCAGTGGCCGACTTGGACCTGCCGTGCTCTACCATTGAAGGCAACCGCACGAATTATTGGGTTGATCCATAATTCCTGGCCGAATTTTTTCAGAATCAATTTTCTTCATGTCAAATTAGTGTCATTACGAAATAAGTTAGTATGTTGAAGGAGGCATCAGTACCTTAAACTAGGATGTTCCAGAAGGTCAAAGGGCAGTGGAATAAGTAAGTAGGGATCGAAATGGATCAACGACCAAAGCAGGCGATTATGCTTAACGATCATTTAAAGAATTATGGCCAAGTGCGTGTTGACGAGGACACCCACACCGCCAACGCCTCTGCTGTCGCATGTTCCAAGGAACAGTTCTTCTCCAGTATCGAAAACGGCGTGTAGCGGGCGGTGCCTTCTCGTCTCGGTCAGTCCGATGACGTCGTACTTGATCTTCCTGGCTGCATCATCAGGTCTTCGATGTGAGCTTCGGATGCAAGCGTTCGTGCGTTGAAAGTACAGATCGCCATCTTAGTCCTTCTTCGTTTAGGCAGCCTATCCGGGCCCTGAGATTCTAGCAGCCTCTCCCGAGCGGTCCTACCCAACGCTGCCGTATTGGGGGCTCCCTCAGGTTCAGGGGAATGAGGCCCATCCATATTGCTGTTTTCGGCATATTGAAGGCACACGAGTAGCTTGCCAGCAGAGTCAACCCTGCGTTGCGCAGTTTCGGCTG